TTCTGTCTCCTCTGTCTCTCTCTTTTGTCTTTCTCTTCTGTCTCCTTCGCTGCAGCAGCAGTTTCCCTTCACTGCCCCAGGCAGCAGCAGCAGGTAAAAAAAAAAAAAAGGAGACAGTTTTGTTTCTGTCTCCTCTCTCTCTTTTGTTTGTCTCTTCTGTCTCTTCTGTCTCTCTTTTGTCTGTCTCCTTTCTTCTGTCTCCTTTTCTGTCTCCTCTCTTTTGTCTCCTTCGCTGCAGCAGCAGTTTCCCTTCACTGCACCAGGCAGCAGCAGCAGGTAAAAAGGAGACAGTTTTGTTTCTGTCTCTCTCTGTCTCTTCTGTCTCTCTCTCTGTCTCTTCTCTCTCTTCTGTCTCCTTGCTTCTGTCTCTTTTGTCTCCTCTTTGTCTCCTCTTTGTCTCCTTTTCTGTCTCCTTTTCTGTCTCCTTTTCTGTCTCCTTTTCTGTCTCCTCTCTGTCTCCCCTCTTCTGTCTCCTTTTTTGTCTCCTTTTTTGTCTCCTCTCTTATCTCTGTCTCTCTCTTTTTCTGTCTCCTTTTTGCTGTCTCCTCTTCCGTCTCCTGTCTCCTTTTCTGTCTTCTTCGTTGTTTTTTTTTCTGTCGCCTTTTCTGTCTCCCTTTCTGTCTCCTTCTGTCTTTATCTCTCCTCCTCTGCCTGCTGCTCTGCCTACTGCGTCTGCTGCTGCTGCTGCTGCTGCTGCTGCTGCTGCTCTGCCTACTGCGTCTGCTGCTGCTGCTGCTGCTGCTGCTGCTCTATCTACTGCTGCTGCTGCTGCTTTTTCCTCCGGTACATCTGCTGCTGCTGCTGCTGCTGCTGCTTCTGCTCTGTCTGCAGCAGCAGCTGCTGCTGCTTCTGCTCTTTCTGCTGCTTCTGCTGTATCTGCTGCTGCTTCTGCTGTATCTGCTGCTGCTTCGGCTGATACTGCCGGTGCTACTGCTGCTGCTGCTGCTGCTGCTGCTACTGCTGCTGCTTCTGCTTTATCTGCTGCTGCTGCTGCTGCTGCTGCTGCTACTATTGCTGCTTCTGCTGTATCTGCTGCTGCTGCTGTTGCCTTATCTGCTGCTGCTGCTGCTTTATCTGCTGCTTTATCTGCTGCTGCTGCTGCTGCTGCTGCTGCTGCAGCTTGCGTGTAGAGGTGTCGCTGCAGCCTGCCTGGCTGCCCCTTCGTCTGGAGCTACACCGCAAGGAGGAGGCAGGCCTACAGCGAGCTGCCTTGTCAGTTTTTTTTTTTTTTTTTTTTTTTTTTTTTTTTTTTTTTTTTTTTTTTTTTTTTTTTTT